TGTCAATCTCTATTAGGTTCACAATCAATTTTTTATCGGCTATGTCTATGATACAAGCTTTGTATATAACCTTCTCTAATAGTGTCATACTCCCAAGAGTAGACACAAACAACACAGAATCAAGTCTTTCAGGTAATCCATTTAAGTTTGGTGTAAATGCGTGTGAGATAAATGAATGTGAAGCACCAGTATCAATCAAAACATGTGTAATGTAATTACAGATAATATACAGACCCTGTATCACGTCGGGTTGCCTTCAGCATCCTGCTGAGTGAGGTTGTAAGCTCTGCTCTAGATAGGAGGTCTGGTCTGGTTCTGATTTTGTGGGCACTCTTGCGCGTAGTATTGACACTTCTACATATACGATAGGTATTTTTAAGACGATAGTAGGATCGATTCCTATGATCCTTGCGACAATGCTGGTAAGTCATACCGCGTCCTATTACCAAACCCTAAGAATGAATCTGAGTCACCAGCCTAGGCTTCTTGTTCTGTTGAACCAGTGCAATGGGTGCTAGTCTATAGTGTGAGACCGAAGATTTGGAATTCTCCACTGCTAAAGGAAAGATGTGAAGGTTCCTCTCTACTAGTTGTGCCTTGGTTAGAACGCTTGAGTAGGTACTGAGCTCAAATACGTACAATTGTCGTTTGATCTCAGGACGGAGACCCCACTCGAACTTCTTTGCCTTCCTGTCTTCATCCATCATGTTATAAGGGGAATACCGACCCAACTTTAGGAACCTTCAGGTATACTCCAACATAGTCATATCGCTCTGGACTAGGTGTGCAAACTCCATTTCCTTCAAATGTCAGAGGTGCTCTGGAAGATACTCTGTATTGAAGGCCATCAAGAAAAATTTTCAAGTGACTAGAATGGGTAGGGTGGCCGATTTGAGCTGCCACCAGCGACCTACCTCTCCCACAAGCATGTACGTGGTAAGTATGACCTTCTATTCAGAACCACCCCAAGAGTCCCGAAGACCTTCTTTGTCTCAACTAACCAATACTCGGCCTTTCGAAAGAGGATACCCCTACAAAGTTAGATGAGTTTAATCTTTTGTACCTTTCAATGTAGCTGAATATATCATGGGTGGAACTGAATCCCATGGAAAAGGGATTAGATTGTGCTGTAGAGGGACTAGGTAGCCATGTGGCAATGCCGGATGATATAGTGAAGGCACTGAATTATATTGTGGCAGTACCAGATGATACAGTGAAGGAGCAAGGTTGTATCGGGGTAGCTACGAATCTTCCCACTACAAGGGTGGCTCAAATTGTGGTAGTGGGGGAGGATCAAGCAACTCCCTCCTTTCCTCTCGGGCCTGCTGGACAGAGATAGGTCTTTTCAGCATCTCAAAGAGTCGGTTAACATGATCTTAAAACAAACCATCTCGGGCTGCTCGATTTAGTAGGGGTCTTCCTCTCCTCATATCATTTTACCTGTATTTCATAAGGAAGAGTTGAACGATAGTTTGCATTTAGTGTTTTTAAGCCTTTGTGCAAGGAATGATTCTGAGGAACGCGACTTTGATATCAGTTGTAAAAGCTCGAAACTTAAATGGAAATGAATTCATAATTTAAATGCGGAAGTGAATAATAAAGTTAGTGTTTACATTCCTTATACAATAATTTAGATTTCTCAATAGGGCTACGGGAATGTCCATTCTAAAAGATAAACGGTAATTAAAGAAAAAGCGAATAAATAAGCATTCTAGGACTACCTTCACTAACACTTAAAAGTAGTCTGGGAGGTAAACTGCTCACTATCTTTTTGCTGATTGAGATCTGGATCTTGGTCTTCTATATCTAAAATGTTAATAAAATGGTAAGCTACACTAACCCAATAAGAATATCACACTAATCATAGATACGAAAAATCGAAAATTGGTAAAAATAAAAAAATAACTAATTGAGCCCTTACTTTAAGTAAATACATTTAACTTTAAAATTTTTTATTCGATACTTACTGTCACGATTTTTTCAAAATCGACCTATGAAGATAAATAACTAAATGACATTTTAATTCCATTCATAGAATCACAATTCTTCCTTTTTTTGACCTACTTACTAGGACCCTTGGGGTCCATAAGGATATCCCCTTCACTCGTGGATCTAGTATCAAAAATTGATAATTAATCCGACTGTCTCCATACCTGTCTGGTACTAGGCACTAGAACCATCATTGCCTCAATACCTCATCCGGTAAGAGGGTGAATCAAATCTCCCAAAATCCTTAATATATGGGACTTCTCAATCCTGTCCGACTGAGGTAATGTCTACGGGAGAGTTTCGTATATACTGGGTCGTCCACCTTTTCTCAGGATGCCCAGTAAGCTTTTTTTTGTTTAGATTCTCCACACAGCCACCAAAGCATACCAACATTTCATGTCATATTCACTGATCAATTTAAACAACACTTAAGCAAACGATTTAATTTATCATAACCAATAACCAGATAATCAGATAACTAGATAAATCATGCAAGAAAGGATCAAATAACCCAAATAATCGAGAAGACTATAAAAACTATCAATGTAAACATGTACAGTATAATAGTAAACAATTTAGGCAGTATAGGAAAATAAAAAGGGAATCAAAACAAATGTGAACTAACCGGTTCCAGCTTCATTAGTGACCTGTAATATTTTTAGGATTTTTATATTTTTTCACAAAACACACAATTTTTTATTATTAATCCTCAATTTATCGTAATCGAGAATAGGGTGAGGGATCCTTAGCCGAATCGGTATTTTAAAATATCGAACTGTCCACCGCGCCTCCAACGAGTTCGAATTTTTGGAATTTTTTTCTGCAGGAACCCAAAATACTTGTCATGTACATAAAAATATCCAAAAAAATTTAAAATCGGTGTTGAAAATTTTTTTCGGCCAATTTTAGGGTTCTAACATGGTGGTGCTGGCTCTACCGCCCACGGCGGTGGTTCGCCTTGGTCTTGCTGATATTGGTCGATTTTAGCCAGTTTTAACACGCATCCCTACGAAAAATATGTTAGGAAGTCTCGGTTTGCCAGAAAAATTGAAAAACTAAACCTACCGGCGGGAGTAGTCTCTGGGCGTGGCAGCTCCGTCAGTTCTCCTTCACGGTTGGGGATTCTCGGCTAATCTGCATCAAAAGGAACGGTGAACACAATGGTGAAAGAATCACGTAGAATGGGAAACGGGAAGGGGCTCATTGGAGAGATTTTTGGGTTTTGGGTGTGGCAGCTCCACCGAGCTTTGCCCGTGGTTTTTGGCTCACCCGTCGTCCTTTTTACTCTGATATGGTCACAAGAAGGCTCGAAATCAAATTCCAAGCGAGTAAAGAAAAATTTTACCTATTTTGGTTGTCGACTGTGACTCCGGTGGCGGAGGTGGTTGGCGGTCGGCCTTCTTCTTCGGTGTCTGATTCTTCTCCTTCGGCGGGGGCTGGCGGTTAGGGTTTGGGTTCCCCTATGAAGAGGAGTTTAAATACTCCTCTCTTCTTTGATCCGTGTTGTTTGTTTACGTTGACGTAGAGCAGGGAGAACCATTCGATGGTTTCCCATTTAGGCTGATGGCGTGGTCGAATCTCGTTCGTTCATTGCATTTGATCTTATTTGTTTAATCAAGCCCAAAGGAGAAATGCATCTAGGTCATCCACGCACGCGACATCAATCCTGGGCTGTCGAATCGCTTGGCACATGAATCACTCGTGTGGCCTCCCGCGTGGCACTGATATCAGCTTGTTTTTGCCACCCGGCTCACCCTGGTTCGTCATGACTGCTGACTGGGCTGTCCCACATAGCCAAAATTTTTCTATTTATATTTTGACCCTCTATTTCTAATTTTTCTTTCAAAACAACTCCCGAATTATTTTCAATTTCATTCCTAATTCAAATTTTTTTCAAAATTTCAATAAAATTAAAATATAATAAATTAAATAATAATTTTATAAATAAATTAATGAAAAAAATTATTGCAGACTGATTTTCGAGTCTGCATATTACATTAATAATTTGATTAAAACCGCGTGCATTATCAATTCTATATATAATGATGGAATTTTGTTCTTAATTAGGATTCATGAAAACAGCTAATTTAAATTATATATGAAATTACTTTGAAATTAGAATTTAATTTTATCTATTTTTATCTGATATATATATATATATATATATTATAGTTCTATTCTTATTTTATAAGGTTTAAATCTAAATCAAATTCAACAGAATTTTACTAATTTTGTTAAAGTCGCAGAATTTTGCTTATTAGGCAAAGTTGATGCATGTTTTGATTTATATCTTAAAATGGGCCTAAATTTTAGAAGTGGGATTGGGCTCATTAGCATTTTGGACCTGAAAGATAATTGAAATGAATTATATATTTGAAAATTAGGGTTCAAAATTTTTTAAAAAGCAAAAATGGACTTCTGATATTTTTACATAGGCTTCCATTTTATCAAAATTTCCAACCAATTTCTTTTTTAAAAAATAAAAATAATGAAAACTTAAACTAAGTTCAAAATCAATGAAAAATATTCATTAATGTCCCGGAAAAACTGAGTGAATTTGCAAATGATGTGCTTTGGAAAAAAAAAAAAAATTTAAAAGAAAATTGGAGTTCAAACTGATTTATAATATATTTGATTGTATTATGCTAAAAATATTTGACTCAAATTATGTAGCTCACTCATGTTTTGAGCAACACGGAAGTAAATATATTATTAACAACAATTTAGGATAATTTTTTTTTTTTTTATCAATATACAATCTACAAGTAGTTTAAATGTTTAAAAAAATTATTAGTGATATAGACATAAAAAAATGTAATTTCTCTTTATTTAACATTAATCTATTTATTATTAATTATATTTTTATCTAAAATTAAATATATTAGAATATTATATTGAATGTAAATGCTTACAAGTACCTGGTTACTTTTTGTAATTTTACTTTTTAATGTATGAATACTTTCTCATATATTCAATAAAAAGACACAAATTCATTTTTCCAACATTCCCAATGTCAGACTTTCTTTCTTGTTTGTGAACTTCTCACGAACGATTTCCATTTCTGCTAAATTTCCGTCAAACTTGATCATTTTTCTTGCTTTATATTTTTCACATAATCAAATATGGTATCAGAGCATTCTGATTTATTCGGTATCATCAATTCATTCACATTCAAGAATCTCTAAACTCACAGTGAATCGTTCTAGTGGTGGATCTCCAGCTGTTTTGTTCATCAGAAAATCATGGACGCTCTAGTTGTTTTTGATACTGTGAAGACAAACGAGGTACTTACAAATCCCTACTACCTGCATCTAAGTGAAAGTCTAGCATTTCTGCTCATATTAACTGTCCTAACAGGTAATAAATTGTAATTTGTGGATGGAAGTATTCATGTTCCACCGAAGGATGATCCTTCTTACCGTGCTTGGCAACCCTATTATGGTTTCATGGATAATTTTATTACTGTCTCCCTCAATTATTCAGAGCGTAATCTTTATTGATTACGTCATAAACCTTTGGAAGGACTTAGAGGATAGGTTCACTTAAGGCGACCGCGTCTGAATTAGTGATCTACAGGATGAAATTTCTTCATTGAAATAAAACACAGAGTTGGTAACTGAATATTTTACTCAAATTAAGATGCTTTGTATAAACTAGCTAATCTGCGGCCTGGATTTAAATGTCAGTGCAATATACAGTGTGCATGTGGAGTAGATGATATGTATAAAAGATATCTAGAGGTGGTTTGGACACAAGTATTCATGATGGAGCCTTTACCACCACTAAACAAGTTATTTGCACTAGTAATACAACATGAGAGAACCCTTAACATTAGACACTTGGGATCTTCATATGAGGCCAATCTATTTTATGTGAATTCTAACCAACAGAAAAAGAATAATAATGGGCAGAATAGGAGAATTACTGGAGGATTCAATAACAGCAACAAGAGGCCAACTTGTACACATTATGGTCTCGTTGGTCACACTGTTGATAAGTGTCATAAGAAGCATTCTGAGTGTAAATCAGATCAGCACTCAACTGGTTCAGAATGATTCTGAGAAAAGGAACTCCCAAGAAAATTTGCACTCTTTAGGAAATGTCTCTGATGGATTGTCTTCTGTTTCCACCAAAGACCAATATCGAACACTCCTAGAATAATACCAAAAACTTATGACCCTGTTTTAGCCTAGTGTCTCTGCATCTTCATCTATAGCAGTTAAATGTGTCATGCCACAAGTGAACACCTTTACTGCCAACTTATAATCTGCACAATCAGAAAATATTAATTTCTCTCTACCTTTTCATACTGCACCTAATGAATGGATTATTGACTCAAGTGCTACAGACCATGTGGTTAGTTCACTTGAGATGTTTAGTCTGTGCAGATTAGTTACAAACATGTATTTCAAGTTACCCAATTCATAATTAGTCTTGGTTACACATGTTGATGATGTTCATCTCTCACATAAACTGGTTCTTTATAATTCCTTATATACACCTCATATCACATTGAATTTAATAGTTGTGAGTAAACTGTTGAAGGATTTGCCTTGTTGTTTAACATTTCATAATACCTTATGTGTTATTCAGGATACTCACACCCAGAAGAAGATTGGTTTAACTAAGGAGAGGTAAGGATTGTACTATCTTGAGGCTGAAAGGGTACTTACTGTAAATGTTGTTTTAAATCCCAAGTCTTGTTCTAGTTTTTTTTTTTCATTGTAATAGCATTGTTAATAACCACAATTTGTGGCACTTCCTTCTTAGTCATCCTTCTGCGCCAAAATTGCATGTTATACATCAAAAGCATAATTATATTCTTCCTTGTAATTCCTTCAATTGTGATGTTTGTCATCTCTCAAAATAAAAGCGATTGTCATTCCCTATTAGTACTTTAATAATTAAAGCTTGCTTTGATTTTATTCATATTGACATCTAGGGTCCCATATCCATCCCTTCAATGTATGGTCATCATTATTTGTTTTACTATTGTTGATGACAAGAGATGGTATGCTTGGTTATATCCAATGATTGGAAAAAGGAGAAGCAATAAATTTGGGGGTTAATTTTTTTTGCATATATAGAAACTCAACACAATGCAAAAATAAAATGAATTTGTACTGATAATGGAACAGAGTTTAAAATATCTGAATGTTTTGTCACCAAACGAGCGACACACCAATGCTCGTGTCCATATACACCACAACAAAATGGTGTGGTGGAACTCAAGCATCAACATATTATGAATGTGGCAGTCCTTAATGTTTCAAGCCAGTTTACCCAAGCAATTTTGGGCAGACTGCGTTGCACATACTGTTTATTTGATTAATCAGTTGCCTTCTCCAGTCATCAATAATAGGACTCTTGTTGAGCTTTTTTTTTTCTGCTACTAAATACAAGCATCTTAAAGTTTTCAAATGCTTATGTTATGTGTCTAATCTCATGCCCGAAAAATCTAAACTTGATTACCCAGCAACCAAGTGTCTTTTTTTGGGTTATCCTTCTCACATTAAAGGGTTCAAAGTTTATGATCTTATAACTCAGAAAATATTTATCTCCCTTGATGTTCAATTTGTTAAACATGTATTTCCATTTAATTCTCCTTCTCATAACGACTCTAATTCTTATGTTTTTCCTCATCCAAATGATTTGATGACATATTACATTGAGCATATTTCAATTTCACTGCCTTTAAGATATTGCAGTACCAAGCACTCCTGTTAAATCACTTCATTTAGGTAATGTCTCTCACCCTTCCTTTAATGAAATATCCCCTCTTTCTTTTACACAACATAATGATGATCCTATAATATACAGCCCGCAGTCTTCCCATATTCTTGAACCCATTACTCAGAATAATGTACCTGTTAGGAAATCAACCAGGTCTACACGACATCCATCTCATTAAGTGATTACTATCTTTATGGTTTAAAGTCTTGCGTCAATTCTAATCCACATCACATTGTATTTCCTAGTTTATATCCTATAACCGTCTTGAACCCACACACAAATCATTTTTGCTATCTCACAAGACATTGAAACTAAAACCTATTATCAAACCATATATTTTCCCTGTTAGAGAGAGGCAATGTCTAATGAGATTAAAGCCTTAGAAGAGAATCAAACATGGGAGTTTGTTGATCTGCCTCATGGAAAAACACCCATTGGTGACAAATGGATATATAAAGTAAAGAGAAAAACAGATGGGTCTATAGAATGATATAAAGCTCGATTGGTGGCTAAAGACTATTCCCAGCAGTCAGGAGTTGATTTTTTGGATACTTTCTCTCCAGTTGTAAAACTGACAATTATTCGTACATTATTGGATGTATCTACTATAAAAGGGTAGTATTTACACCAACTGGATATTAATAATGCATTTATAGATTGTAATTTAAAGGAATACGTTTATATGACTGTTATGATATCGTCCTACGAGGACTAATATAGCAATTACTAGAATTACAACTAATTAATATTATTTGGCAAACGATTAAGAGAAGGAGTATGAACTAAAACTTAACAAACAAACAAAAATAATGAATTAGGAATAATTAATAATAAATATATAATGACGGTTAAAATCTTAGAATCTACCTTAAGTTAAACTATGAATTTCCTTAATTCAATCTACAATCAGAACTTTCTCCCAATTTTATTTAATCATATAGTAATATTTTTTTCAAAATCAATTATCCTACCTACTTCATAATAACACACATATCTCTATGGATTAGAATGAATCGGTGCATTAACATTTAATCATCAAATAGATAGATCATAGCAAGTATCTTTACTCATATTCAATCTAATGAACAATTAATCTCTTAATCTAATCATTCATCATAAGTCAATAAATATGTAATCAATCTATTTATGTATTAAGCCACAAGATAACAAATAGGGATTAGAGAAAAAGCTTTTTATAGATTGAATAAAGAAATCACAAAGTATCCCTTAGGGTTTCATCAAAGATCCCAACAGAAAAGCTTAGTTACACATCTTAAAGAAAATTACAAGAGAGAATTCTAAAGGAAACATGAAATGATAAAAAATAACCAACTAGAAGAAGTTCTTTATGTTTGCAACCATCTCATTTTTTCTCCTCCTTCGGTCTCTTTTTCTTTTTGGGCTCCTCCTCTTTTGATATCATTCAAGACCTAATATTTTGATCTGGCACGTCCCACGGTCGTGTTGAATGACACACAACCATGTCTTCCTCGAAATTTCATCAATTTTCAGCTTTTAGACATGACACAATCGTGTCTCCCAAACACACGACCGTGTCTCTTTCACCGAGCATGGGAGACACAATCGTGTCTCTTTCACCGAGCAAAACAAAAACGTTATTTTCTTAACACATGATCGTGTGTTAACCCAGTATAGGGCACACAGTCGTGTCTTCTAGGAGCATGGTCATGTCTCACTCCGCCTTAGAAAAATAAGCATTGGTTTCTTAACATATGGCCATGTGTTAACCCAATATAAGGCACACGGTCGTGTTTCACTCCTCCTCAGAAACAGAAATGTTAGCTCCGTAAGACATAGTCGTGTGTTATGGCCATGTCTCCCACATCTTCATGTTTCAACTCTTTTTTGCCCAAATCTTGTTCCAATCCATTCTAATTTTCTTCCATGTCCCAAAATCATTCATGAAAAGTGTCAAAGACAATCCAATAACATATGTGGCAAAAATCAATAAAAATAAACTCAATAAAATAGAAAATATTGAAAATTCATTATATCACTCCTCCACACTTGAGGTTTGCTTGTCCTCAGCATCTTAATCCATTCACAGCAAACCATAATGAAATCT